GAAGATATTGTTGTTGGCATCTTGCTTACATGCAGTGAAAAGTGTTCTGCTGTCTTTTAAGAATGTAGCATCTATTACTATAACTGTTCTACAATACTTCCGCCCTTGAATAGATGCTCCAAACACTATAAAGAGGTATTTGAATTTGTTGTCCTGATATGTCTCAATTTTTGTAACTGATAGGGATTTGTTTATTCTATCATGTACAAGTATTCTAGAAGCTTTTCATAGGATCTATTATCACCAATTCCAATGCTTTCTCCTTGGATCTCCAAGCTTTCTCATAATTCATCGACACTCCATATGCATTCATCATGTCACTTATAATGTCTGTAGGAGTGTATGTTATTTTTGTTAATATATACTTGTACATGATAAATTATCCTACTATTGAGATGGTTTCTTGACGATGATCTCCCAAAATAATGTTATTTGAGCATATATGATCACTTTTAATATGCCATACCTTGAACATATTTTTTCTACGAAGTTTTGAAGCTCTAAAAGTCCATTTACACTTATCATCAATACACTTCAACATATATTCTTTCTTGTTCGACTTACTTACTTTGAATGATATCATTTCTTCCTTCATTCGTCGTTTCTTCAACTCCCGATATACTATTATATACATCAACGATAATTTCTTCCATACTAGGTAATTTCTGAAATTATCAGTTACAACTTCACAAAACTGCAATAGCGTTATATCATTTTTTTCAAAATCAGTAGCCTCCAAATATTGTATGTTATTAACAAATTCAGTTTTGTGACTTTTTGTTACCGTTGTCACATCTAATCACAATGAAAACCTTTTAAGATCTTTATCCTTCCTCTTGAGCTCTGAATAAAATGTTAGAAAAATATCGACTGAAATCTCCATCAAATGTAGATTCTTTTTTCACTGTATATTGTATTTTTATTCTCTGTATTCATTCATTTAGTTTCATCACAGAAAATATCATGCTCTCGAGGTTGTTGTGTGTGCAATCTATTGAGACAACAATTTCAATCATTTTCACTTGTATATTCGTTATTTTGTATCAATTTGCCTCCAATACAAATAAAGACATTAATTTTATCCATACCTACAAAAAAATTACAAAGAAATTGTGTGAGGATTTTTAAGCAAAAAGAGTGACAGAGTAATATGCATCTAGTTAATTGCTCGAATGAGATATCACGACTTTTTTTGAGAAAAAATTACAAATGTGACTTTTCATAAAATAGTAACAGAATTGACATTCTCCTTGAACAAACACTTGCATGTATCAATGTAATTGATTCAAAATTTATTTTTCATATATATTATCATAAAATATGGCTTGAATTTCAAATTTTTAAAGATGCACACGTATGCATCTAGTTAATTGCTCCAATGAGACAGTGACTTCTTTTTGGAAAAGTGACAGAATGTCACTTTTTCATATTATCATTTTGTCAAAGACCTTTTTTTGAGATATCGTGACTTTTTTTGAGAAAAAAAATTACAAATGTCACTTTTCATAAAGTAGTGACAGAATCTACATTCTTCTTGAACAAACACTTGCATGTATCAATGTAATTGATTCAAAATTTCTTTTTCATATATATTATCATAAAACATTGCTTAAATTTCAAATTTTCAAAGACACACATGTATGCATCTAGTTAATTGCTCCAATAAGACAGTATCTTTTTTTTTTAATATCATCTTTTCACATTATCATTTTGTCAAAGACCTTACATGCATCATTTTAATTGATTCAAAACTAATTTTTTATATTTATTGGTACAATTCATTTTCTCTCAAGTTCAACAATAACAGAGTAATATGTGTCTAGTTAATTGCTCCAATGAAATACTATGATTTTTTATCTCATTGATTTATTTATTTTTAGAAAAGTGATAGAATATCACATTTTCACATTTTGTTTGAGCAAACACTTT